ATAGAAATGAATCATTTTTAAATATTTTAATAATTAAGGGTTAGTTCGTGTTCCTCCTTTTGAAGTATAGTTGAAACAATTTTAAAACACATTTTAAGAGCACAGAGTTCAGAAAGTACCTGTAAGCGAACTCAGCTTGTAGAAAAGCTACTTCAATTCAGACATAAAAGAAGATATCCACGTAACACCTGTCAAACTTTGTAATGACTTTTTTTGCATTTTGTTATAAAAAAGCTGTAGCACCTGTAATAAACTTGGTCACAAAGTGTGACAGAATCCTCCCAGAGTAGTTATCAAAATTTGAAACTTAGGGTCTCAAAACTTCCTTTTCCTGCGTTTTTCAAGACATTTTTAGTAAATAAATAGGGAGGAAAATTTATTGGTTAGTGCACATAGTTTATTTTCCCCTTCACTAAAGCTATCGGTCAGGGAACGACATTCGACAAATTAGACAAATTGATTCGTGACTTACTGGGTAGTCGACTCCAACAGGTATCCAATTTCACCATTATTGTGCTGTTTTTTTGTTCTTTTTTCGCCTGCGAAAAGAGTTACGTTTTTTCGCTTGTAAAATTGTATTTTAGGCCTCGATGTACGTTAAGTAGAAGTAAAAAACTTTTGCTGAGTACTGTTTTATGACTGAATGAGCAACAACAATAAACAGTGCACGAGTCACTTTTTAAATTGCCCTGTCCGTCCCATCGCATTCCTTACATTCGCAAGCATTCAGTCAACGAGTCCATTTGTTTCTCCGCTTGAAAAGAATTCACGACCGTAAACTTCATTTTGGTCCCGAACTGAATACCAATAAACTGGTGCTACCTGTGAAATCTTATCACAGCCACTTTCTATAAACATCAATTTAGGTCGGCATTAAAACTGGACAGATTGTGGTAATCGACAAAGATAGTGCGCCAGTGTCTGACAGCAGATCATATCCAACAGAATCTGCAAGTCAGCTTAAACAATGCTAGCAATTAGTTCAAGTTAAACAAAATGGTACCTAACACAAAGAAGACGAAACATCTACTCATAGCTACACGACAGAAATTGAAATACGCTAACAACCCAACCTTAGATCTTTACATAAATGGCAACAGCATAGAAGAAGCCAAGGATGAAAAACTCTTAGGCGTCAAGATCGACGAGCGCATTAGCTGGCACAACCACATCGAATATTTAATTGGGAAGCTGAACACTAGGATTTATCCGCTAAAAAGAGCGAATGCCTACCTTGACCTCCACAGCAGAAAATTGTTATTTAATGCACTTATTAAGCCTGTCTTTGAATATTGCTGTTCGGATTGGGCTAACGCCCATAACGATCAACTGCTGAGGATACTTAGAGTGCAGAAATGTTAGTAGTATGTTAATATCAGATGTTAGTTTCCACGATAACTCGATTCAAATGTTCAAGAAACTACAGTGGATACCAATTGATGATGTAATACGCATGAAGAAGTTGTGCATGATGTTCAAAATTGTGAACGGAAAGTGTCCGCATTGTTATACAAGCTATAGAACTTATGTAAAAAAAAACCCAATTCTTATAATACGCGAGCTTCTTTTCATGATCATTTGGGCGTGCCGAAATGTCGCTCCGACGCAGGCTTTCAAGCATTTCATGCGAGTGCCACTTACTTATGGAACCGTCTGGACGACAAATTCAAAATTATTACAGATGAAAGCAACTTTAAGAAACTTTTCGTGAACAATTTTTTACAAGGTANTGTAGGAGTATCCAGGGCATTTCGCGTCAGAACAAAGTTCTCTAGATTCTATGTTTTGGTCTGAAGTTTAAGCGTTTCTTGACCATGAATAATCTCAGTTTCACGGACACTGGAGCATGGATTGTGTTCATACGCAGTAAAATTCTAAATGGTAACAAATAGGACTAGCAATAACTCATCATTTCAAAATTAGTTTTAATTCACTGTCAAGGTTGCTTGGTTAACGTTTCCTCGACCGGAGGAACAACTCTTACGAGATTTCCTGTCGCCTGCACGTTGCCTGCTCGGTCTCCGCTTTGATTAACCTATCAAACCATGCTCTCATTATTGATTTCTTTTTTCCAAATGCTGGGGCATTTCAAATCTCTCTATACCAAAATTTTTCTGACTCAGTTTAAGGACATTAACCAAAACAAAAACAAAAATTTCAAGATTGTTGAAGGAAAATACCTTTAGAAATAGCTCGTTATCTAGAACTGCAATACGTGCAGCACATTATCTGTGGAAGGATCAAAACCATGACTTTTATGCGAGCGTTCTGTCACACGCTGTACTCTATACCAAGCTACTTAAAAAGTGCGATAGCTTTTTTCGATACTATATGCGAAAGGTTTTATTACAAAGTATGACAGGTTAGTGTTATGAAATAGGTTGTTGTTCATCGTGGCGGTAGGCGGTCCTTGACGCACCAATCACAACAGACCACCATGATATATAATGCTGCGCCGCAACCAGTCGACCCCATCGCCTGAAGAAGACTCGCAGTAAGCAGTCGAAACGTTGCGTTCTACATCCAGTAACCTTGTCGTGAGACAACAGAACAAATTTATATTATCAAGGTATGACAGGTTTACAAATTACAACAAGTGTTATTACAAAGTGCGACAAGTGTTATTACAAAGTGTGACAAGTGTTCTTACAAAGTGCGACAGGAATCACAAAGAGATTTTGTTTTGTCCATTTCTAAATTGAAGTAGCTTTCATACGGGCTGAATTTACCAGCAGGTGTTTATTGCATTCTGTGCTCTTTGAATGTGTTTTAAAATTGTCTTTGATATAAATACGTGCTCGTTATCATTATGATAAAGAGGAAATTATTTGTTTCAACTGTATTCAAACGAAAAACAATCTAAGGGGAAACTATTTTGGTTCCGAGGCAGCTTATATATAATGTCTTAAGCAGATAGTGTGTCCTTAAGGAGGCGACGAGGAAGGTGTGACAACTACAAAGGAGTAAAGGTGTGGGAATTAGAGCAATAGCTTTAGGGCTACAGTTATTATATTGATAAAGATTTTAATTCGTTTGTGTCATGTCAAGATATGATACAGTGTAGGATAAATAAATAGTATATTTTCATCCTTTCATGAAATTCAGATATAATTTTTGTGTACAACTAATAAGGGAAATATCTCCAAACAAAAAGGCTCTACTGCAACAAAATCTTAACGAACGGGTAGAAAATTATTCATTATCTGACAATATTCCATATTTATGGCTCTTCTAATGAATCTAATTACTCAGTATCAACGCCTGTGGTCCTCTTTTCTCAGTACATACACGACTGGATTGACAAAAGAGTTTTTATAATTTAAGATATTACCCATGAAATAAAACTTCTATGGTATTGTTGAAAAATTAGAAGTTGAATATGGCATCAAGTGTCATCTGTCCAGGATAAGTTATCCTGATGAGTTATTACACTTCTCATTCAAACTAAGATTATCCCTTATTGTGAAATGATAACCCCTTAGTCGGCTTGTGAAGAAGTTTTGAGGCAGGCAAGAAAGTTG